CAGGTGAGATAACGGAGGCTAAGCGCGGGCAAGTAGCATAATGGAACTGTCTATCAGGGCAGTCTGGGCACCCTAGTATACACATGCTTTGTCCTCGCTCACTCAGAATCCGATGAGTGGTCATCCATCCTCCTGCGGCCGTGCGCAGCCAAGCCCAGGCCCAAGACGGCGGCACCGTTTTCAAGAGCAGACGCGTTGGCTCAAAGTTCACAGCATCGATCTCAGACGAGCGAGTGGGCCACCATTTCTTCAACCTCTTTCGGAACAGGTCAGGCGGGGTCGAGGCTGGCAGCGCGGCAACAACAGCACGGTGACCAGCAAGACTCTGTGTGCAATTTCTCGCATCGTCCAGAACTTCAACGAAAGCACGACACTGCCAATGATCAGGGTATCGACGCGACCGAGGAAGAACTGTGAGTCGACAGTGGTCCCGATTCTCAGCATCATCATTGGTGCACCGGTCAAGCCATCGAAGCACGCGTTGAAACTCAGGAACAGTATCCAGGGCCATGCGCACACGCGTGGCCGCACACAGTGACAGAAGTGCGTTGACCTTTGGCCCATTCCACTCACGCAGGAAATGCCGGGCAACAGCGCTGAACGTGCCAATGGGGATGCGGAACGCGGAGGCGAGGGCTCCTAACTCCAGGTCTAACAGACGGCGAGGCGAAGGTAGATACTGAGCGACATAGCTCAGCGTAGGCACAGCACGAGTTTGGGAGAACACTCCCGAGACAGACGTAGCTTGTACACCCTGGCCTATCGCTTTAGCCCGAGACTGGTACTTTTTGCAGGGCCCCCTCCAAGAGTCCTCGAGAGTGGCGCCAGGCCCCGCGAACATGCCCAAGTCGAACAGCTTCGACGCCACCTGGAAGGACGTCCACTGCGGTAGGCAAAGCCTAAGATATTGTGCAACTCTCTCTTGCAGCGCAGGCGTAAAGGCAGAGGCGACAGGCGCCAAGAAACACTTGGGCGGCTTAAGAACGAGGTGTGCTACCCGCTCCGAGACACCCATGATTCTGGCGAACGTCCGCAAACTCTGCAGCCGTTTAAGCACTCCCCCAATGGCATCAGCGCAAGCTCGGCTAATCCCCATCTTCCCCTTCTCCAAGGACACGTACAAGTCACGTGGAGTGGGTGTGCGCGCAATCGCAAAAAGCGATCCAGACAAAGCGTCGCCCTGGATAATCCCAGACCGAATCCAGAAAGCAAAAACCATTGCCCCACGGCATGACATGGCCCCCTCTATGGCAGTGCACAGGATATGCACGAACATGAGCAGAGCAGCAGGGCAACCCATACGCTGGAGCACAAGATAAAGATACTGCTGAGATAAACTTGGAAACGCATGTCCACAACCCAGAGCACATAAGATTGGGCATTCTTCATCAGCTTCAGGACGGCACGAGTACGCTCGGGCTACAGCATCAACTTCAGCAGTAGTCATTGCAAAGTTGCGGCCTCTCATAAAACCTCGCTGCGAAGGTGGCGCAAAAGCGTCCAAAGGTTTCCGAATCGCATAGTTGACCGAGGCAGCGATGATCTTATAGCTCGTGTTCCTGAGGCCCAGGGCCCTGGCAGAGTTGACATCTCTAGAGCCTTCCTCAGCTTGTGTGTCACCATCGCATTCTCCTTTAGGTAAAAAGGCATGTAATGTCTTGCTCTCGCTGGCAAAGGGGGCGAAACCGCAGAACATGTCGAGCGTCGCATCGTGTGGGGGTTCCACTCCGTACGGGTTCGCTGCCCACGCAGCGTAGCAAAGACGGTCACATCCCGGGGGAGAAGCCGTGGCACGTGCCAGAACCTTCTTCATCACATAAAGGCTAGGAGGCGCACACGACGAGAAGTCGACGGGCTGGGCGAACTTATCCACGTATTTTTCAGCAGCCGCACGCGGCCACGATTTGCGAGCGAAAATGTTGCCCCAATGATCCCCCAGAGCTTTGCACCGAGCTTCAGGACCACCCACAGGGGCCCCATCAACCAGGACATCCCGAAGAACGAGCCGACGCGCGAAAGGGGCCCAGATACGAGCACGACGTTCCAGGGCCTGTAGACGGCGACGGATCTGAGAAGCTGACGCCCCTCCTCAATCCAGACCACCTCCTCCATCCTGAACCTCAAGCCGGGCACGAAGTTGCTCCCGATCCAGCTTCGCGGCGCTGAGCTGCTGCAAGTTGCACCACTGCATGAAGGATGCCGCGTGCACAAGCTCAGCGCGAGAGCCACGGACCTCGAGAAAATCAGCCGCAGCAGAGTGAGATCCCAGAAGCCGCTCCGCAGCCTGGACATCTTGTCTCCGCACTGCGCGCGAAACAGCACGAGCCACCAGCAGGGGCGTGCGAGGGCCATGCGGACGGCGGAACATGATGCGATCACGCGCCTCACGGCTGGCCTCCGACATCAGATACTTGTATCTCTCAAGCCTCGGGGCGGAGCTCATGTTCTCAAGGTGGGATTTTTCAGCCTCCAGGAAACTCTTCAAAATCGATTTGAACTCTGCAGACGCACATATGCTTAGGCATGGGGCGCCCCTCAACGGCGGGTGGGCGACGCTGACGAAACAAGACGACGTGAACAGCATGGTCACTGATCTTCTGCCTTGACAAAACCTCAGGCGCTCCCTCCACTTTAGGCGCGATCGTCATCTGCGTCAGAGCCCAGCCAGGCCACGAGCACCAGAAACGATCAATAGCGGCAACAGCATCGGCCTTGGCATCGTAATGCGTCGCAGCCGCAGGTGTGACCTCAACTAGGAAATCGAGTGTGGGAGACCAGGCAGGGGCACGGGCGTGCAAGGGCCTGGGGGCCCGCTGGGCCTTAGATGGCTGCGAGAAGCTCAGTTTTTCCACAGCGGCAAAATTGAAATCACCGTGCACTACCACTACAAAGCTTTCAGGGGGGGCCTCAGACAACGCGCGATCCTGGGGAATCGCACCGCGCCCATCCCGAATTTCATTTACCGTTAAATCATGGTTGTGTACATTCCAATGGGCGAGGGTTGTATTCCCATCCGAAAAGCAAACTCTCAAAACTCGGCCAGCCAAATGCGAGAGGGGGGTGGCGGTGACACCGTCAGGGGGCGAGGGCTGACCATTTTTGATCACGCCAGGCACGACCGCGGCTACCCCGCCTCGGATGCGCTCAGCGGGATCCTCCCCGCAGTAGCTCGAAAAGATCAGAGCCCCAGGGAGAGCCTTCTGGAAAAAAAGCTAGTTAGCTGAATTTTATCCGGCCGAACCTCCTGAATTGCCGAAATCGAAGAGCCCAAACACAGACGCTTCAAATAACCCAACTTCACTGATGCACGCTTACCTTCATACTGGAGCAAAGCCCTACAGTTCCAGGAGTTAAAGCGATGACCATCCAGCGCCTCATCAGCCTGAAGAGAGGGCAGAGGACAGACTGCAAAAGGACGGGCGAACCTACTAGAGGCACCACTGCGGCTCAGCGCCTGGCTCGACAGCGCTGCTGATCGCGGTGGCGAGCACCTGCTTGTCGAGGCCGAGCTTGGTGAGCGTGGCAGCGTTCCAGTGCACCTTCGTCGGGGTACGGCCCTCGAACACTTCCAGCTTGAGGAGCGGGTCCCATCCCACGGACAGCCAACCCCTCTCGCGGTCGAAGAAGAGGCGGTGGGCGTCTCCCACAGCAGAGGCCAAGAGCGACCTGACCTTGCGTCCCGTGATCTCGAGCTTGATAGTGCGCGGGTTCTTGTCCCCGCTGACATGTAACTTGGTGACTCCCTCATCGCTGTGCGTATCCACTTCGAACTGGCGCCACTGCCCGTCCACGCGGAGCATGGAGAGAGCTTTGGCGACACGGCGAGCAGCAAGGCCTTCACCACCGGCGACGCGAATGATGAACACCCCTGAGAGTACATCACGGCATTCAATGGACCACCAGTCGTCTGCGAAGCCAGCGTCCACGAGCCAAGGCTGCAGCACCTCCTGCACCTTGGCCTTCGATACGAGCTTGCCCGCGTTGACCTTAATGACCGAGTAATCCACCTCGCGCTCGAACGACGACGAGAGGATGATGGGCTTGTTGGGCTTCTGGTTGGCCGTGACCAGAGCCTCCTGCAACAGCTTGACACTCTGCTTAAGTGCCACGATGTCTTCCGAGTGGGCCTCGAACTTCGTGTCCACGGACGCGATGATGGTCGAGAGGGCGTCGTACTTCTGCGTGAACTCACGACGAAGCTCTTCCAATCGCGGGTTGAGAGTATCCTGAATCTGCTTGTCCAGTCGCTTCGGGGGCGACGCCATCTCGGCCTGGCACTTCTGGAAGCACTGCTCAAAGTGAGCCTTGAAGGAGTTTGCGATGGTCCCAGACTCGCTAGAAATGGCCTCCGAGACGGGCTGGGCGACCACGCCATCGACATCCTTCTTGAGCGCCTGGAGCTGGTCAGACACAATGCTGGTGCACACTGCGCGGATGTGCTCCTCAGAGTACTCACCCATGGAGATCTCCCCGTCGCTGTCCTCAGCGGCCATGTCGGTGACAGCAGGAGGAGCGGTGGGAGTAGAACCAACAACACCACGCGAAGCACGAGCGGCACGCTGCCCACGAGGAGTGACAACCTTCGCCTTGCCAGCTTTGATGACTCCAGCACCGCCATGTGTCGACATCAGACAGACAAAATGACTGTGTGTGAACTCACGCGCGGGGCTAAGTGGGGGAGCCCAAATCCCCCAGTGAAGGCTGAGAAGAAGGGATGCCAGGCAGAACTTCCTTGCCAGCCGCGGATTAGCGGTATCCCTGAATGCCTTGGGGCTGGAAGCCCCCAAAGCCATAGTCTTGAGCCAAAATGGCTACGGAAGGGAGGAGGAGGAGGAGGAGGAGGAGGAGGAGGAGGAGGAGGAGGAGCGGAATTGGGGGAGGAGGAGGAGGAGGAGGAGGAGGAGGAGGAGGAGGAGGAGGAGGAGGAGGAGAAGGGAGGGAAACGGGTGAGGCAGAGTGACGAGCCCTCCTTTCCCTTCTCCTCCTGATCCCCCGAGGTCCGCCCAGACGAAGTTGCCCGCCAGGAAGCGGTCCGCCTCCAGGTGGAGCATGAGGCCCAGCTGGCGCAAACAGTACCTGGAAGCCACAAGATATCAGCTCGTCCTCCGCCACCCCATCGACCGAAATGAGGAGGCGAGGAGGGAGCAAGATGAGAAGGAACAGTCTACGAAGAGGAGAAGATATGGTTTTTACCCTCTGGTGCCTAGCGGTCGTTACCTGCTCCCCCCTCCCCGGCTAACGATTGTACGTGCGGGAAAGGCCTGGACCCCCCTCCCCCAAATGCTGTGGCTCGTGCGCATACTATTGCGAACGCAGCGCACCTTCCACCGACGTGCACAACCCCGCTCAAGGTCTACCGTCATCTGCCCCCCCCTCCCACGGGTAACGACCGCTACCGGAGATAATCCCACCAACCCTCTGGGCGTGAGTGGTTTAGGGCGCTTTCTCTTCTATCTTCCCTGTTTTCCCTTCGGGGAGGAGTTGATCACTCCCACTTCCTGATTAATAAACACCCCCTCCCCCGGGCGCGAGCACTTTGTATCGTTTGTTGATAGGGACGGCAGGGGTGTCCGCATATTGCTTGCTGCGCGCAGGGCCAGCATCCCTGTCAAGAACGACACAACATGCACCTCGAGGCACGATGAGGATCATGCGCGGGCAACCCGCGATCACTGTGCATTGTTTTTGGCTGGGGCGGTGGGGGTGCTGGCATGTGGCCTACTGTATGCAGGCCCACCAGACACTATGATAGCCACCCCGCCGCGATTGCGCACTGGTTTTCGACAAGGGTGCCGGGGGCCGACACGTTTCCCGATGTGTACTGCAACGGGCGCAGGCGCGTGCCGCGAGCGTGGCGCACATGGCGCGGCTGGAGCATGCGGCACACATGGCGCGCGTGGATCATGTCAGGGCTGAACCTAAGCGGTGTTTTTCGTTTTCGTTTTGTTTTCGTTTTCCCTCATGTTGTCTTCAATCAGCCTTTTCACGCAAAACGACATCGAAACGAAAACGGCCCACGAAATCTCCAAAACACCGTTTAGGTCCACCCCTGGATCATGTGACGCATCTGGCGCACCAGGCTTGGGCCAAATGGGGTGCCTGGCATATCTGTCGCGCGCACCTCGCCCCAGCGTTGCGAGCATGGGATCTATTTTGGTTCCCGTGAGCTGCTCATCCAAAGGCGACCGCTGAACATGCTGCGGCTCGAGTGCGAGTGAGCGAGACGGCTTGCGGGCGGGGAGGGAGTCTTGACCCCTTCCCCTACCCTCTCCCCCTGGACCTGGACGGGGCGCCTCGCGACCGACTGGAGCGTACAAAATGGCCCATGATGGCTCTACAAGACGGCCCAAGATTCCTCATAATGGCTTCCAAGGTGTCCCTAGAGACTCCAAGACCGCCTCAAGACGGCTCCAGGTGGCCTCGGAGCACAGAGAGTCTCCAAAAAGCCCAAATTCTTCCAACACCTGAGGAACATTCATGATATTAACCTTCCCGCTTTTTCGCTGCTGATGGCCTTCCGAAGCCTGAAGATGGCTCCAAGATGGTCCAAAAGGGCACACAGAGAGGCCCAAGAGGGCCCCGAGACGGCCCAAAGAGCGCACAAGGGCGTTCCAAGAGCGCTCCAAGAGGGCCCCAAGAGGCGATTTTAGAGGCTCTAGAGGGGCGGCGGTTATTAAGAACCCCCCCCTCTTTGATCGATGTCCTACACGATGGATTCTAGGGCTCCCAACAGAGCCTCGAAAAGCCCCCAAGACGCCCCCTAGAGGTGCCTAACCGGCCCCAAAAAGCCTCAAGATGCACTCCTCAACGGCACCCTAGACGCCCCGCGGGGCCCCCCGGGAAGCCCTCGTCGCCACGGCTGGATTCGCCTCGAAATCCTGGTCAGAACGCACCCCCGGCCCCGGAGAGGTGTGGAGAGCAGTGGTATGGGTATCTTTGCTTCCCAGCAATTCGGATGAAGATAAATCGATAATCTCTGAGACCCGGCGGCTCTGGAGGATGTATCCGGCTACGCGGCCTTCTCAGAACGTTCCAGAGCGGTCTGACAGCAGCGTGCCAGAACGCTCTGAAACGGATTTAGCCTTGCCCCGGCCCCGCCCCATTCAGTGGGGATTCCAGGTCACCGCACGGTTTTAGGACTCGGGTTGTTCTCCGAGGACGTCGGACGACTGTTAGAGAGCAGAAGAAACACTCTCATGGTAACCACCCCGACAAGCGAAGCCGCTTCGCCAACGCACCCAAGGAAGAGATCGAACAGGGAAGGGCTGTCTAGCAAAGGCAGAAGACAGTCCCAAACACGGCAATTCTGGGGTTCGGGGTGGTTTTTCCTTCTTTGGACTGGGGCCTCCAAGGTCCCAGAACCGTGCGGTGACGGACCGCGCGGCATGATGTCACTCTGGATTCCGAGGTCACCACGAGGCTGTTTTTTGGGACCAGCGATAACCCGGATTGACTGGGGGGAGGTAGGGCCAGCCGATAACCTAACCTTCGCGCTGTGGACAGCACGGAATATGCCCGCGCGCGCCAGTGCTGCGGCCCCTGACAGCTGCTAACGATGCTGCGACGATGCTGCTCTTCGTGCTGCGTCGATGAGGGGCGCCGTGTGGGAATGGCCAAGGATACATTTGAGCCTGCTCCACTTACAGGGTGGTGAGGTTATCAGTAACATAAGCTTTAAGAGGTCCGCGCGGATTTCTTGGATCTGGGCTAGAGTCCCCTCCCTGGCGCGCGGAGCGCGCCAGGGGCGGCGCTGGAGGCGCCGCCGGGGGGGGCCCAGCGTAGATCCAAGAAATGCGCGCAGAGCGCCAAAAGTTTATGTTTATGGCGTTTTTTCTTCTTCGAGATATGTCTGGACCTGCTTCACTGACATGGGAACGGGTGGGTGGGGTGGGGGGGGGGGGCGAGTCCGAAAACCCGGGTGATCGCCAGATTACTAATAATAAAAAACATCCTTCACGCGGCCGTCACCGCGCAACGCTTTAGGGCCCCCAGGCCGCCAGACCTTTCCGCGGCTCGGGCCTCGAGCAACCGCACGCCGATGATAATAAAGGGACCCCCCCCCTTCAGTGTTTAGAGTTGATTATCGTCGCCCTATACAAAATTCAAATTGGGCGGCGAGCGCTGAGGCCGAACTTCATTATCACCTCGAAACGCTATGTTGAGATAGCAACATCAAGCGATGTTGATATAGCAACATCAAGCGAAGCGATCACACTTTTTCAGGATGTGTCAAGCGAAACCAATAATTTTGGGAAGCGCCGCCAAGCACCACTGTATCTATCCCCGCGCGCGCCTGAACTTTTTTATCCCTGGGGTTGATTATCCATGGAAACTGAAGCACATGAACTACCCTACATGAACACTTAAAACATCGATTTTCATAAAGCGTTTGTAAATTAAAATTGATAGATTTGGAATTTGAATTTTTCCTTTCTTCTTCTCTTCTTCTTCCTCTTCTCCTCTTATTCTTCTCTTATTATTATTATTCTATATGAGAGAGCGTGATCCACCGCCGCTTTACTGTGGAAAATTGCCAACCTTTTCCTCCGGAACCCGGGGGTCGCCCCCCCCCCCCCTCCGAAAATCCCCCCCCCCCCCTGCTCGAACCCCTCCCCCCCCCCCCCCTCTCCCCCGGCAAAACCCCCCCTCCCCTAACCCCTCCCCCCCCCCCCCCCCCTCTCCCGCTCGAAACCGGGGGGGTCACTACCGGTTCGAACCCCTCCCCCCCCCCCCCCCTTCCGGATCCGGAAAACGGGGGGGGGGTCACTACCGGTTCGAACCCCCCCCCCCCCCCCCCCCCCCCCCCCCCCCTACCACCCGCCAGCAAACGACTCCCGGTCCCCACCACCGTCCGCATCACATCCCCCACTGGTGTTCCCAGCACCACTGTCCTCACCACCGCTGTCCCCACTGGTTCCACCACCGCCCCTACTGTCCCCACCAGTGGCCCCACCACTGTCGCACTGTCCCCGCTGTCCCCAGAACTGTTCCCACCACGGTTCCACTCTCCCCACTGTCTCCACGGCCCCAACCACTGCCCGACTATCCCCACTGTCCCCACTGTCCCACTGACTCCTCCGCTGTCCCACTGAGCTGTCCCACTGTTCCCACCACTGTCCCCACTGTCCCCACCACTGTCCCCACTGTACCTCTGTCCCATTGTCCCACCGCCGTCCTCGCCACCGCCTTCACCACTGTCCCCACCACCATTGTACCCTCCACTGTCCCACTGTTTCCACCTCATTCCCATTGTCCCCACACCACTGTCCCCACCACCACCGTCACCACCACTGTCCACTGTCCCCCCTGTTCCCACCATTGTCCCCACCACTGTCCCCACCACTACCGTCCCCACCACTGTCCCACTGTCCCACTGTCCCCACCACTGTCCCGCTGTCCCCTCACCACTGTCCCCACCAACACCGTCCCCACCACTGTCCGCACCCCCACTCGGTTTTCGAGGGGGGGGAGGGGGAACCGGTAGTGACCCCCCCCGGTTTTCCGGATCCGGAGGGGGGGGGGGGGGGGGGGAGGGGTTCGAACCGGTAGTCCCCCCCCCCTTTTCATGATGAGCAGGGGGGGGGGGGGGGGGGGGGTTCGAACCGGTAGTGACCCCCCCCGGTTTTCTGGAGGGGGGTGGGGGGGGGGGGTAGGGGTTCGAACCGGTAGTGACCCCCCCCGGTTTTCCGCCAGCAGCGGTAGAACACGCTCTTTCTCTTCTTCTTTTATATTTCTATCTGTCCCCACGCTCGCCTGAACTTGATTATCCCTGGGGTTGATTATCCATGGAAATTGAGGCACATGAGCTACCCTACACGAGCACTTAAAAAAATAAATTTTCATAAAGCGTTTGTAAATTAAAATTGATAGATTTGGAACTTTGGATTTTTCCTTTCTTGGTCCTCTTCTTCTTCTCCTCTTCTTCTTCTCTCTTATTATTCTTCTACTGTCCTCTTCTTCTTTTATATTTCTCTCTGTCCCCGCGCTCGCCTGAACTTTTTTATCTCTGGTGTTGATTATCCATGGAAATTGAGGCACATGAACTACCCTACACGAGCACTTTAAAAAACAATTTTTACTTCGAGATTATGCTGAGGTCTGCTGGGCTACTTTTATTATCTCTCCCTGAACCCCGAACTTTATTATCCCCTAGTGTTTATTCTCACGGGCATGAGGTTAGGGGATCGACTACAGAATTGGTTTACCCTATGACTGTTTCTTTGTCCTTTTGCTCGCCGAGCCGACGAAAAATGCGTGCAGTCAGCCCGAATCATAAGGATGCGCGGTAATGATGCAGGGGCCTGCTTTTCAATCGAGGTTGACCAGCGAAAGTCACCGAGGATAGGCCGAGGGGACGAGGTTGACCAGCGAAAGATACCGAGGATGGGCCGAGGGGACCAAACATGCCCAGGGCAGCCTTGGAACGTCGCTCATCCCCACTACGTGGGTTGACTGTGGGATGCTCCGTAGACCTGCGGAACATGCTGCGTGCGCTTGCGGGTGGACTCGACGAGGAAATAATTAAACTTCGTGCCGCAATCGACTACCGCCCCCCGTCCCGCCCCGAGAGCTCCACAAGAGCCCCCCAGGAGGCCCTGGGGGCCCCCAAGACGCCGCCAAGGAGCCCCAGGAGGCTCCCAAGAGGTCCCCAAGAGGCCCCCTTCAAGAGGCCCTGAAGGGGGCTCTGGGGCCGGCGGAATGAGCGAAGCGATTCGATAAACTTCGGGATCAGTCACTTCTGCAGTCGATCCCCTGCTCGAGGGGCTGGAGGGGCGGAGGGCGCTTCGTCAGGCGGCTCAGCACCGCCGCGTCCCGCTTCACGCCGCCGGAGTAGACGTTGGCCCACAGCGTCTGCTGCAGGCGCCCGGGCAGGATGTCCGGCCTGGCCCCCCGCGCGTCGTGGGGGCGCCGGGCGAGGCCCGCCTGGCCCTCCGCGGGCCCCGGGCACGACCAGGCCGTCTTTGCCATCGGCTCCGCTCCTCCGTCTCTTGCCGGCTCCGTCGCTGTGCTTGTTGCCAGCGCCGTCGCCGCTCGCGTGCCGGTTCCGGCTCTGGCTCCAATCCCGGTCGCCTCTTCTGGTGGCCGTCTCTTTTCTTTTCCCCCGTTTCTTGCCGTCGCTCGGACGGCCATGTTCCGTGCACTCTTTGTTTCGGGCGTGTGTTTTTTTGGGGCTCGATGGTCCAAGATGGTCCTCGATCGATGGTTCTCGCCGGGAAAAAATGCACACGTCCGAGCGATGCCAAGTACAGGGCAATTTCTAATACATGGGACTTAAAAAAACATTGGATTTTTAATACATGATTAGTTTATGACTAAATTCATGCATGAACGCATCGTTGTTTTTAATACTAAATCCCTGCATTTTCAATACATGATCCGCACGCGGAGCATGTATTACAAACGGCACTGTAGAACAACGGGTCCTGTAAGGCTTCTTTTCTGCAACCCTCGCTGCCCCCTCCATTCCTGTGCTGCAGCCTCGGGGGACCTCGTCTGTCCCGTCGCGGCCCTGTCCGCGTCGAACCCGTGTCGAATCCGTGTGACACTCGTCGAAGCCGCGTCGAATCCGCGTCGAATCCGCGCCAAGCCCGCGTTGATTCCGCATCGAACCCATGTCGGGCACAAGAGAAGACACACATTGTTGGGACAGACGAGGTCCCCCGAAGATGCAGCAACGTAACCACTTATCGCCCTCCCACTGCGTGGCCTCCTCTGCCCTTCCCCCCAGATTCAGTCGGCATCGAATCGAGAAAGCGGATCGGATCGAGATCTTCGTCGGATCGGGCTGCGTCCGCATGGAGTCGGGATCTCGGATCAGATCGGCCGAGGGAGAGCAAGGGGGAGAGAGAGAGGAGAGGGTGAAAGCGAGAGATGGAGAGCGAGGAACCCCCACACACAGACACACACACAAACACACACGCGTGCACGGACACACTCACGCACACACAAACACACGTGTGCACGGACACACACACACACACACACACGCACAAAAACACACACACACACACGCACACGCACTCGGACACGCAGACGCACACACACAGGCACACGCACACGCTCACGCACACGCCCACACGCCCACACCCCACACGCCCACACGCTCACGCGCCCACACGCCCACGCGCCCACGCGCCCACACGCCCACGCGCCCACGCGCCCACACGACCACGCGCCCACGCGCCCACACGCCCACACGCCCACACGCCCACACGCCCACACGCCCACACGCCCACACGCCCACACGCCCACACGCCCACACACGCCCACACGCCCACACGCCCACACACACGCCCACACACACGCCCACACGCCACACGCCCACACGCCCACACGCCCTCCACACGCACACACTCACACACCCACACGCCCACACGCCCACAAACACACACACACACCCACACCCACACCCACCCACACCCACACCCACACCCACACACACACACCACACCCACACCCACCCACCCACACACATCCACGCCACACACACCCACACCCGCACACCCACACACACACACGCACACAGCCACACACCCTCACAACCACACACCCACACACCCACACACCCACACGCCCACACACCCACACGCCCACACACCCACACACCCATACGCCCACACACCCACACGCCCACACACCCACACACCCACACGCCCACACACCCACACGCCCACACGCCCGACTTAAGCCAGAGCTCCTTCAGAGGCCCCGAAGGGCATCTTTTCTGCAGCCCTCGCTGCCCCCCCCACTTGTCGCCCCCCCGCTGCGCGACGCCCAAGCAGCCGAGACCGCGGGTGCGCCGGTGTGCCAGAAGAGCAGAGGCGGGACCAGCAGCAGAGACCCCCGGGCGGGTGGCCCCTCACGAGAGCCCCATGCGACCCGGAAGAGACTCAGAGCGTGTGCTGGCGCCAACGTGTGCTTGTCCACCGTATCCCTCCCATGCGACGCAAGCGGCACAGCTACTGAGGGCCAAAACGGGCTGCGTGCCATCGACGGAGCTGAACGGGGCAACACACCCACACACACACACCCCAACACAAACACAAACACAAACACAAACACAAACACAAACACAAACACACGCAATCGCAGACGCAATCGAAGACGCAGACGCACACGCACATGCGCACATGCGCACATGCGCACATGCGCACATGCGCACATGCGCACATGCGCACATGCGCACATGCGCACATGCGCACATGCGCACACGCGCACACGCGCACACGCGCACACGCACACGCACACGCACACGCACACGCACACGCACACGCACACGCACACGCACACGCACACGCACACGCACACGCACACACACACGCACACGCACACGCACACACACACCACACACCACACACACACACCACACACACACCACACACACCACACACACACCACACACACACACACACCACACACACACACCACACACACCACACACACCACACACACACACTCACACACTCACACACATTCACACACATTCACACACATTCACACACATTCACACACATTCACACACATTCACACACACCACACACATTCACACACAGTCACACACAGTCACGCACATTCACACACATTCACACACATTCACACACATTCACACACATTCACACACACCCACACACACTCACACACTCACACACTCACACACTCACACACTCGCACACTCACACACTCACACACTCACACACTCACACACTCACACACTCACACACACACACACTCACACACTCACACACTCACACACTCACACACTCACACACTCACACATCACACACTCACACACTCACACACTCACACACTCACACACTCACACACTCACACACTCACACACTCACACACTCACACCACTCACACACCACACACTCACACACACACAAACCCACACACCCACACACCCACACACCCACACACCCACACACCCACACACCCACACACCCACACCCCCACACACCCACACACCCTCACACCCACACACCCAACACCCACACACCACACAACCACCACACACACACACCACCACACACCACACACACACACTCACACACTCACACATCCAGACACCACACACACACCACACACCCACACACCACACACCCCACACCCACACACCACACACCCACACCCACACACTCACACACCACCACACCACTCACACACTCACACACACTCCACACACTCACACACACACTCACACACCACACACTCACACAACGCACACACACACTCACACACACACACTCACACACACTCACACACTCACACACCACACGCACTCGCACACTCGCACACTCACACACTCACAGACTCACAACTCACACACTCACACACACACACACATTCACACACTCACACACACACACACTCACACATTCACACATTCACCACACTCACATCACACCCACACACATTCACACACTCACACACTCACACACTCACACACTCACACACTCACACACTCACACACTCACACACTCACACACTCACTCATTCACGCACTCACACACTCACACATTCACACACTCACACACTCACACACTCACACACTCACACACTCACACACTCACACACTCACACACCAACACACTCACACACTCACACACTCACGCGCTCACACGCTCACACACTCACACACTCACATACTCACACACTCACACACTTGCAGACTCACACACTTACAGACTCACTGACTCACAGACTTACAGAGTCACAGACTCACAAACTCACAGACTCACAGACTCACACACTCACAGACCCACACACACACACACACACCCACACACACTCACACACACTCACACACACATATACACACACACACTTTGGGTAAGGCGAACCCAGGGCGACGATAATATCGGGTGGGGATACATCGGAAACCTCTGAAATTCGGCGGCTGTGGAGGCTGCATCCGGCGACGTAATAAGCCTTCTCAGAGCGTTGTGAAACGCTCTGAGAACGTTCGGACACGCTCTGTAACGGACTTATCTTCGTCCCAGCCCCGTCCGGCTGGGGTAGAGAATCATCGGCAGGGAGGGGTGACCTGGACTGGGGGGGCTGGACGCGCCAAAAGACGGGCCGACCGCGCAGCCGGAGCTGGGAGGCACCGGCACCTGTACATGCATGCCGTGGCCCTTCCGCGCGCGAGGCGCGTCGCGCGTGGTGGCAGGAGTGAATATACAAAACTGCCTGGACGGAGCAAACAGGGGCGCGGAGGGCAGCGTTCTCCGAGAGAGCCCTGGGCCCGACGAGTGCGGGCTGCGGCGAACCAGCCAAGCAGCGATCCTACTGCGGGCGGGCGCTGGGGCGGCGCTCCGACCGCCAGCGGACGGCGTCGAAGCGGAAGCGCAGGCGAACGAAAGAAGAAATGGAAAAAAGAGAAGAAATAGATAGGTATACATACATATATATATATATGTTTATATGTATATGTTTATATGTGTGTATGTATATGGGTATATATATATATATATATATACAAGACTGCGTTGGCGCTGCGCGCCATGCGCCTTGGCCCTCTGGAATTCGCGCGCTAGCAGAATGCGAGCGCGCGTGCGTGCGCACGCACATGCGTCTATGAATGCGTAGTACATATGTACATATATGTATACGTTTGTATGGACATGTGCATGTGTGCGCACATGGTCAGTGTAACTATGCGTGCGCATGCACATGCGTATATCGGGCGGTAGTGGCCTGACCAGTTGCTCATATCATCGCGCCACTAAGAAGCGCGAGGGTCTCAGGCAAACGTGGTCAGACTACCGTGGGGCAGTGCGTCGCCGAGGTCAGCGTTGCGAGGACGTCCCGGGTGAAAATGGCCTGAATACCTCCGCTCAGGGGAGGGCGTGTCCGAAGTCCGCCGCGCGAGGAAGTTTCAAGCGAGGAGTGGTCTGAACACCTCTGCTCAGGGTATCCTTGAACTTAGAGTTGCGAGAAGTCGCGCGCGAAAGTGGCCGACGTTGCAAGTGTTCGTGCGGCCGTGAGTCCCCAGAGAGTGTTTCCCCGGGATGTGCGCTGAAACCGAAGGTCCCCGACGGCCTGATCTCCGAAATGTCGCAAAAACCCTGGTTCCCAACAGCGCGTCCAGATGAGATGGCGTCGTGGCCCCGACGGTTTGCATTATGTGTTGCGAGGAGCTCAGTCGAGGCGGGCGGAGGAACATGAAGAGGATGAGGAGGAGGAAGAAGAGGAGGATGAAGAGGAGGAAAAGGATGAAGAGGACAGATTATGTGGATATCTGGGGCGCAGCCGAGGTGTCGCGGACGAAATCCGCAGCAGAGACTTAGAAGAGTGAGGAGAGCTGCTTCTGCTAGACCTTTGGCGGGGCGGAACGTGAAACATCACGGGGAATTAGGAGAAGGTGGAGGAGGAGGTAGAGGAGGAAGAGAATGAGGAAAAGGAGGAGGAGCTCTTGGGTCCTTCAGTGGCTTGAGCGAAAAATGGCCTCGCTGCGCCATTTGATACGACAACGACGACGACGAAGAAGGAGACGACAAAGAGAAGGGATAATGAGAGGGGGAGACCGCTGTGTTGGGATCTCGTGGTGCGCCTCTCGGGGCCCTCTGGGAGGCAGTTTTGAAGCCTCTTTGGGGTGTTTTGGGGTTATGGGGATCTATTGGGGGCCTCTTGGGGGCCTCTTGGAGGCTCCTTGGGGCCTCTTGGGGGCCTCTTGGGGCCTCATGGGGCTCTCTCTGGGCCTCTTGGGGCCCTCTCGCGGCGGAGAATTTAGTTTTTGAATTTTTGGGCAACCTCTTGGCTCTCTCTTGGGGCCGTCTTGGTGCTCTCTTGGGCCGTCTTGGGCGCCTCTTGGGCGGTCTCGGAGCCCTCCTGGACCGTGTCGGGGCCTTCTTGGGGGCCTCGTGGGCAGTATTGGGGCGATCTGGGGAGCCTCTTGGGCCATTGTGAAGCGTCGGGAAGCGGGGAAAGCGAGAAGGCCAAAAACATCGAAAAACATACAGGAAAATCAACAATTGTAGCCTCTCGGGGCTCTCTTGGGGGGCCTCTTGGGGGTCTCTGGGGGCGTCTTGGACGCGTCTTGGGCAGTCTTGGGCCCAGATTGGGCGTCTTGGGCCGATCTTTGGGTGTCTCGGGGCCCTCTTTGGCCGTCGTGGGTTTTTTTTTTTCGCGTCGCACTCGCAGGACAGACACGGAGCACTCTGCAGGAGCGCCCCAAAGGCTCGGGGAGGCCGAAATTCGTTTGGGGGGGGGGGGGGGGGCACCGTGTGCCGCTTTTCCGGGGTCCCCGGCCCTGTAAAAATCTAGAAATAGGAATATCTATATATATATATATATATATATATATATATATATATATATATATATATATATATAAATATAAATAGATATCAAGGATGGACAGAGAACGGTAACAACACGTGGACCGTCCGTGCGCGCTCGAAAAAAAAAAGCAGCAGCTCCGGGCGTCTCAACAGAAGCCCCGGAGGCCAACGCCTCGGTGCTCGCCCCTCGACCCTCCCGCCTGCACCGCTCCGCTCTCCTCTCCTGCGCCGCTCCTCCTCCCCGTCCCGGCACCCGGCAGCGCGCCGCGCCCCCGTGGGGCCTCTCCAGGGCCTTGTCGAGGGCGACGCAGAAGCCCAGCATGTACTCCTGGATCCTCCTCCCCTCTCCTCCTGCGTCTCCTCCTCCTCCTCCTTCCCCCCCCCATTCCCTGCCTCCACTCCCCCTCCTCCCCCTCCACCTCGTTCGCGTTCCCTTCCCCCCTCCGTCGTTTCCTCCTCCTCCTCCTCCTCCCCTCCTCTCCGCCTCTTCCTCCTCCTCCTCCTCTTCCTCCTCCTGGAAGCTGGGAGCTGGTGGCAATGGTGTCATCCTGACGCTGCCGTCCCTCCTCCTCCTCCTCCTCCTCCTCCTCCTCCTCCTCCTCCTCCTCCTCCTCCTCCTCCATCTTCTCCCCCCAATTCCCAGCCCCACCCCCCTCCTCCGAAACATTTTCGGCCCAAGCCCGGGGGTGCGCCGAAGCGGGCAGGCGAGGAGAAGGTCCCAGACAACCTGCCCCTCGGAGGGCGACATCCTGTGCGCCAGCCAACGGTTCTCCTGAGCCGATGGGATGCGGGGGCAGGGGCCGGGTTTCGCCACGTGTCCGACCAACTCCGAACCCTGCCCCCGCCGCCCGTCGAGCTGCCCGAGTCGTTGGTCGGCGAGGGCAGGGTTCGGATGTCGCCGCCGAGCCCTCCCACCCATCCCTTCCCACTGCGCTGATGCGTGCTCTGTCCGCGGCCGACGCTGCAGGGGAAAGCACCACTCTGAGACACCGAAGACGCTCGGATGTCCTCTTCAACCATAAACAAAAACACAAGACGACATCCTGCATGTTACAGCATACGCGGAAGGGGGCGGGCTGCTCCCAGCCATCTTCGGGGGAGAGAAGGAACAGTTTTTATGTTGAGACATCGTGGGACGAGGGAAGGAGGAGGAGACGCCGCAGGAGGAGTGAGATGAGGGAGAGGACTGGCCGGGAGGGAGGGGCAATCGAATGAAGGAAGGAAGGAGGACGGGGGGGTCAGTGGTCCATGGAAACGACAAGGCCGTTTTTTTAGTCGGCTCCATTTTGCAATTATTTTGTTCATTATGGTGCGATGTGCTCATCGTTGTTTTGTTTCTGGTTCTGGTTCCGGCTCCAATACTGGATCAGTTTGCCTACCGTCTCCGGGAACTGTTACTTTTCACCGTTGCAATGCTCTCCCCCCCAAATTGAAAACTTACACAGCTGCCCTGCCGCTTCCATGACCCACGGAAGGGGCGGTTTGATGACGAAAGCAGGAAGAAGGTGTGGGGAGGAGAAGGCGGGAAGAAACAACTGGAGGATTCTGGCCCTGGGTAACGGGAGCGACTGGGCAGGGTAGAGCACGTCTGGGCGGGGGTGCGCGGCGTTCTCCACAGCATGCGCGCGGGCACCAGCCTTTGGGGGGGCGTCTGGCCAGCCCCCCCCCTACGTACGATCGTTACCGTTACACTGAGGGTCGGGGTGGCCCAGGTAACGACCCTTACATGTCAGGCGGCACAACAACAATCTCAGAGGAGGAGGAAGGAAAAAAGGCGCAAGAGGAGGAGAAAGTGGAGGAACACGTTTTGATGGTGCCGATTTTGCGGGCAGTTCTGTGGCGTTCCTCAAAGGTTTTTGGGAGGCTATGGCAAGGGATCAGCAGGTGGGGATGGGGAGGTGGAGCAGGAAAATGAGGGGATGAGAGGAGAGCCTCTCTCCTTCCCTCCATGCATCCACTCAAGGGGGAGGGGACTCCTGGACGTTCTGCAACTCGGCGTCGAACCGGTACTCCGGGATCTTCTTCAGCCACATCCAGTTCCGGACCTCGGGGGGTGTTTTGGGCCACGTCAAAATCCCTCCCCAGACATCCGACGCCGTGAGACATGACAACCGTGCGGTAAAAAGCCCTGAACATCTTTAAACATTTACGATGGGCGGCACGATGAGGGCCAAGATGAGGATGCCACGATAGGGGTTATCGGGATTAAGATTGGGGAAGGGTACAACAGTACGGCTAGTGCCTGGGGTTAGGGATCGGGGCGCAGATCTAGGATATGGGGTACAACCGATAAAGTGAAAGAGATAGAGATGGGGACGATACTGGGGGGCCACGGGAGGCAACTGGAGGCCACGGGAGGCAACTGGAAGCCACGAGAAGCCACGGGCGGCAACGAAAAAACACGGTAGGCAGCTGGAAGCAAGGGGAAGGAACGTCGCCCGCCACATTCTGAATCCAGCAGCGCACCTGCAAAGCTTCTGGGGCCGAAACGGATACATAATCCCTACATGCAAGATGTTTGAAAAAGAACGCCGTCATTACTCGACGCGGATATCCCCATATGTGCATCTCGTGGTGATGGCAAGCTTCGGTAGAAGACAGTGTCCTTTTCCTCCTCCTCCTCCTCCTCCTCCTCCTCCGCCTCCTCTGCCTCCGGCTCCGCCTCCGCCTCCTCCTCCTCCTCCTCCTCCTCCTCCTCTTCCCATACCCCTTGCTCCTTGCTGTGACGGGCAACGATAGGGGGGGCTGGCATAGGGAGGGGGAACATCGACCTAGAATCGGCGGTACATCGCCGATAGGCCCCCGATCGCAAATCCACGCGTTCCTGGGCAGGTTATCGCTCTCGGGCCCCTATCGGCGATCAATTGGCGACTGGGGGTCTATGCCTATCACTCCGCATCGTTGCCCCTGAACTCTCCGACCTCTAGCGTCACACGCCTGCGCTTCGACTCACACTCTCGACCCAGCCGGTTTGCCTTTCGGCCGCCACCCTGCTGCAGAACTCCAGCTCCCGACGCCACATCAGCACTCCGACTTCTGGCATCCCTGCTCGCAGCCAGGAAGATCCTTGTGCGAACCAGAACTCTGCAGAATCTGCAAGCCTGCGGCGTCATCCGTCTTGCCCCAGCGGGCACGGGCACACGCGTCTCGCTGCACCGGCGCCTCGCTCGCTCCTCCTCCTCAGCCCCGGCCGCTGATGGCAGGGACCAGGGTCCAGCAGCTCTCGAACAGGTCTTCGTCGAGCCTCTTGGCCTCGGGCGGACGACAGCGAGGACAAGGAGAGAAGAGCGAGGAGGAAGGCGACGGGGGAGCGACAAAAAGAAGGATCATGAAGGAGGGGGGAGGGAAACCGTTTTGGGAGTTGCTAGGGCATTTCAGGTGGTGGCACGGCTGCTGGACATCAGGAGAGGCCAAGTCCGAATGGAATAGCCCAGACGGGGACCGACTGGACCTTCTCCGTATGGACTCAGCCTCCTATCCAGAGAGGCTAAGACCAGACGGAGCAACCCCATACGGAGACCGAGCATTCCGTGTGGACTTCCTCCGCGTGGACTTGGCCTGCGCCGAGGACGAAATTCTGCAACACCCGCGCGTCCGGGGTGCCGCGCTCTCCTGCCCCTGGATTCAAGTATCGGTTGGCACCGCTGGCGGGGCGCAGAGAAGTTCGGCTGGTCGACAGATCGACACGTCGTGGCACAGCGAGCCCGCCAACATCGGAGGAGGAGGAGGAGGAGGAGGAGGAGGAGGAGGGCGACGAGTCCCGGGAGTCCCGGGGCCGCGGGGGCGCGGCGGGGGCCCGGCGGCGTGTGCGGGGGGGGGGGGGGCATTCGCAGAAATCGGCATACAACCGGACCTATAGGCCAGAAGAGCATCCCCCAGGGACATGGGACCCTCCGCCGGCCACACCACACACAGAGCATCCGAGGGTGCCCTCTTACCAGCCTCGAACGTACCCCTATCCCTAAGATGGACACGCCAAGAGGCGATGACAATCTTAGCCATTCGCCTTCAAAAAATGAGGGAATCCCTAAGATTGGCATCGTGATGAGGAGGTGCCCAGCATAGGGATAGGGATATGTTCCAGGCGGGTACCCCTCCCCCACAGGATGCACAAGAACACCCAACGAGCACGAAGAACGTGAGGGCACCCTTCCCGAAAGGACCTCGATCGTACACCTCGGTCCGGCAGCAAGAGGTGCAGGATCGAACAGGGGAGGACAGGCAGGACCTGGAGGCGAGGGGCACGAGAGGAGGACGCAGGACGACGAGGCGGGCCGAGGAGGCGGACGAGAAAGACGAGGAGGCGGACGAGGCACACGGACGAGGAAGACGAGGCACGGAACGGAACGGAAGGGCCCGCGGGGGAGTGCACAGCACTAAATATGCAAGTGAACATACTGGCAACAAAACTGGGATATCCGCTACGCCTCAGGCGAGGACCAAAACTTACCCCTTGGACTGGGCCTCTCTGGCCAACTCCTTTACACGAATTCGGGCGAGCAAAGGGCACGAGGAGGCGGACGAGGCGTCGAGGAGGACAAGAGCTGGCTGCAGGCACGAGCGGCCCTGGGCAAGGGTGGCCTCCGGTGCGCGGCCTGTGAGGGGCCGCAGGGGGGGGCCGGACGCAGGCGCGCCAGACGCTGCTGCCGCACCACGCCCAGCGACCGCGGGGCCCGGATGGGCCCGTGCCGGAAGCCGCTCGGGCGAAGGGTCGCTCCCGCGTGCAGTCGACAGGGGCAGACCCGGGACGCCCGAGGCTCTGCCCACGGCCACGAGCGCGGCAGCTGCCTCCATGGCGCGAGCTGCGTGCCGCGCCGGTCACCGGGGTGGAGGGGGGAAGGAAGACACGAGCTGGAGGCCACAGCGTCCGGCTCTGGACTGCATCCAGGTCGGGCAGGTCCTCTGGCAGGGGGATGTTGGGCCAAGAATAAAAGGTACAAAAAATACACCAAGATGGTCAAACATAGTCAATAAATCTGACCCGGGTCAATCCAGACCCCGGTCAGTCAGACCTTGCAGAATCCTGCAAGATCCTGCACCCAAGCCCGGGTCAATGCGAAGGATCCTGCAAAATCCTGCAGGATCCTGCACCCAAGCCCGTGTCAGTGCGACCCTGGCCCTGCAGGATCCTGCAAGATCCGGCGCCCTGGCTGACCCCCGTTTGCATTGAACCCCGTCTCTTGAGCTCCGAGGCTGCGTGTAGCGCCGGTCACCAGGGTGGAGGGAAGAAAGACACCAGCTGGTGGCCACAGCGTCTGGCTCTGGACTACAGTGGAGGCCCGACCACCAGAAACCTTCCACAAGAAACCCAACCCTGAGACCCCAGGACGTTCGTGGATCTCTGGGGTGGGGAGTGTCACGGCTTCCGCAGCAGAACCACCGAACCCCAAGAAACCCAGGGCATCCTGGAGGCGAGCAGTGTGTTTCTTGGCATGGGCCTCCACTGTACCCGTCCCCCCTGTGCTCCTGCTCCTCCTCGTCTTCCTCTCTCTCGTCCTCGGTACAGTCGGACCGAGGTATAGGATCGAGGTCGATTCGGGAAGGGTACCCACCCTGATGCTCCTCGTGATTTTTGGACGCTCTGGTGCATCCTGGGGAGGGTACGTACCCTTGCATGCTTTGTTTGCTCTGGCCGACGGAGGGCACCCTGGAGGCGAGCAGGTTGTTTCTTGGCCTGGGCCTCCACTGTACATCAGGCGGTGTGGCCCTGCTGCCCCCGCCTCTGCACGGGGCGCGGCGCCTGCCCCGCAGCAAGCCCGCCCGCGAGGCGAGGGCGCTTCTCCGCTGCGGCCGCGAGGAAGGGCATGCGGGCGCCCGGCTCGGTTCGGGGGCCGTGGGTGTCCCTGCCGACGCAGCGGCGCGCTCGACACGCGGGCGTCGTCTCCGCGCCCCTCTAAACTCGAAGCGAAGGCGGGGTTGGATTTGGAGGTTGCCTCGCCTCGACGGCTCGGCAGGGGAGGGAGAGGAAAACCGTGGATCACGCCTTTCAGGCCATCCGGAGGACCAAAACCGGAGAGGATGACGTCGGCGCAAGTTTCTGACACCGCCTGGACCGTGCAGCCTGGAACGGTCGCGCCTGTCCGACCGCCAAGAACGATCGAGACTCGGCCACGAAGGACCCGAAAAAAACCAGCACGCGAAAAGAAAGTAACGGCATCGGTCTGCAGGGAAACAAAACACGGCATACAGTCGGGGCGCTGACCTAAGGAACCGTAAATAAGGAACGAGGCCCCCTTTTCCCACAAGTTGAGCTTAGATTTCCCATCGAAGCCCTAAGCAAAACCAAAGGCGAACTGCAAAAGAACTAAGGAACACCGAGCCCCTCCCCAACGAAAAGGTTTCCTTCCTCAGGGCCCCGACTAAAAACATGAACAAAAGCCGTCGCAGGTCCGCGCGTAGTTCTTCGATCGGCGCTGAGCCACCCTCCCTGGCGCGTGGAGCGCGCCAGGGGCGGCGCCGGAGGCGCCGCCAGGGGGACCCCGCGCAGACCAAAGAAATCCGCGCGGAGCGCTGACAGTAGATTTCATTATGGACATGATTCTAACCATGAATGCACTTTCTCTTCGTATTATTCTTCCTCTTCTCATTTTTATTAGTATCACTTATGTGGCGAGGTGCATGACTTGTAGACTGGCAAGAACGGGTTTCGGATTTCGCCACGGAGTCTTCTGCGTCCTCTTCGACCACTGGCTTTCTCCTGTGAACCCTCATCTTGCTGGGGGATCGCCTTGGAGCCCTCCAGCACGAGGCGCTGGTGCAACAGCCACGCGTGGATGATGGCGAAGTACACCTCCCGCTGGGTGGTTATGGTGCGCGCGACGCTGGAGAGGGACAAAAGAAAAGAGCGAGGTCGGGGACTTCCAAGAGGGGGGCGCTCGAAGGGGGGGGCGCACATCATGGCCCGAGGCATGTGCGGGGATGTGGGGGGGGGACCGGGGGACGTATTGAATGATGAAGAGCTGGCCGTGGTATCCGGCGAGACTCCACGGCCCTGGCCATGGTATCCCCCCCCGCACCACTTGACATCGCAGCCCCTCTAGCTAAACGCCCTGTGCCAAAACTGTCAGATGCACTCCACGTGCGCACAGCAAAAACCACCGAGTACATCTCAGAAAACGCACGTCGACTGGCGAAACCTACTGCGGACTGCACCGGTACTCTCTAGCCCTGTGCTGTTGATGTTCACACCATGGGGATACTAAGAAAGTTCGGGGCCCCGGGGGGATAACAAACGATTTTCCCAGCAAATCGCATGTAGGCATGTACGGTGTACGGATGCAGGAGCACGAAGCCTGAGAAATCCTCTTCGCTCTCGGTTCTGGCGGGGCCTTTCCAGGATGGGTTGGGACGAGCACGGGACCTGAGAAAGAGTATGGTATAGCGACGCCCCGCTTGCTCTGGCGGGGCATCCCTGGCGGGACGGGAGGGGCGAAACACATGTGAAATAAGATGGTATACAGTCAACCCGTATAATAAGGATGCGGGATAAGGATGCAAGGGCCTTGGAGGGCCTTTTCGAAGCTTTTCGAGCACAACGCGGCCAACCAAAGCGGCCAAGGACGGGCCGAGGAGGCAAGGATGCAAGGGTATCCTCAGGAAGGCTGCCCGTCCTTACTATGCGGGTTGCCTGTAGCCACACTTCGCTCTTTCTGGCGGGGACCCACGCTGGCGCTCTGGCGGCTCCCTGGAGGGGAGGGAGGAGCACGACACCCGAGAAACGATATAGCATAGCCACGCCACGCTCGCTCTGGCCGGGCTTCCCTGGAGTGGTGGGTGGGGCAGAACGCCTGTGCAGTAGCATGGTATAGCGATACAGTCGGACTTGATTGGACAGGACACGCGAAAGGACACAAGACCCTTTCGAGGGCCACATCGCCACAGAAAGGAACGAGGCATGGGTCGCGAGACGCAGGACACAAGGGTACCCTTGATCTGGCAGGGTCGACCTACTAATCCGGGCCGACTGTACCCTGCTCGCTGTGGCGGGGCCGCCCTGGCGCTCCGGCGGGGTCTTCCCTGGAGGGGAGGGAGGAGCACGAAGTCACGGAAGATGATTCAATGTTCGATCCGTGCTTCTCTCGTGGTAAGAGAGCTCGGCCTCGCCGCTCCGCCCGCCTAGCAAATGTAAGCATCCCATGGAGAGTCGTGAGTCAGGGGTTAAAGGGGGGGATGCTGCATTATCGTGGGCATAGGATTACTGCCGATGTCGAGCGAACCGGTGCAGATGTCCTGCCGACCCGTCTGGGTGGGCCTTCTTGGACTGCCCGACGAACCCTTGGTAATAAGGCTTCGGGCTGCGCACAGACGGCCCCCCCCCCAGGCAGTGCCAGCCCGCACCGCGGTGCAGTGTGTTCTGCAGGGGTCCTTTTGGTACAGTCGGGACGTTGACCTAAGGAACCCTAAATAAGGAACGAGGCCCCTTGTTCCCATCCGTTAAAGTTCGAGTTCCCATCGAAAACCTAAGGAAAACCTAAGGCAAGCTGTGACACAATGAAGGAACACGGAGCCCCTCCGCAACGAAAAGGGTTCCTTCTTCAGCGCCCCGACTGTAAGCCAGGAAAGCGCCAGGCGGCATGGGCGCATGGACGGGCCCACTCCAGGTGCCGGCTGCACGAGTTCTGGAAGGTGGCGCGCAAAGGCTCCGCGCGTTGCGCCTGAGGCACACGCGGGCGGCAGTGGCGGGCTGGCCTTAACAGGCCCCCAGAGTAGCCCAGGCTGTCCACAACAGGCAACCCGAATAGGAGGTCCCAACACCCTGTCGCCGCCTCTGGCGGCGCCCCTGGATCGCTCTGCGCCCCAAGGTTGGGGTGTTGAGACCGCCCTGGACTACTCGGAAGCCTGTTGAGGCCGGCCTGGACCACTCGGGCTGCCTGGGGGGGCTGTCTGTGCGCAACCCGCAGCTTCACCAAAACCTCGCACGACCAAAACACTGCTCTCCATACTCCCGGCAACGGTCGTGACCCGGGAGCGGGCTCGGACCCAGGGTCAGAAGAACGTTTGGGCGGCTGTCAGAGCTGCGATCGCCACAGCATGCGCGGGGACACGGGCCCGTGGGAGGGGGTCCATGCCCACCCCCTATGTGCGATCGTTGCCATCACATGGCGGCGGGGAGGGGAGCTCGGCCCGGGTGGCAACTGCTACGCGCCAGAGGATGCAGGCCCGATCCCCAAGGCCCTCGCCGCGGGCTTCCCCTGGCACTCGAGCACCGACGTTCCACCCGCCACCGCGCCTGGTGCGCGCTGCGGCGTGGCAGCACGCCAAGGGCTGCCCGGCGGACACTTTCCCCGAGCAGTGCTGGCCCTCAGGGGCTCTCCCTTGGCTCTCAACGTGGCGGCCCGGTCGGCCCGCTGCCGCCCGTCGCCGCAGCCGCCGCCTCTGGAAACCGGGCCCGAGTGGCGTTCCGGCCCGGCCCGTGGCCGCCCGCCGCCGCTGGCTCAGCTGGGCCCGAGCGGCGACCCGGCCGGCTCGTGGCCGCCCGTCGCCGCCGCCGTCACCGCTGGCAACTGGGATCTGAGTGTCGGTCTCGCCGTCGCCGCCGTCCATGGCCGCCGCCGCCGCTGGACCGTTTTGCGCTGCAATTGCCACTGCACTGCGTTGCTCTGCGTTGCCTGGTTGCGCATTGCTTGGCCTTGCGTTGCATCATTTTGCCGGCGTTGGATTGCTTTGCGTTGCTGTGCTTGGCATGTCTCGGCAGTGCTTGGCATTGCTTTGCGTTGCTTGGCATTGCTTGGCGTTGCTTGGCATTGATCGGCATTGGTTTGCATTGCTTGGCATTGATTTGCATTGCTTTGCATTGCGTCTCACTGCGTTGCATTGCGTTGCACTGCTTTACGCTGCTCTGCGTTGCTTTCTGCCGCTTTGGAACTGCTCTGCGTTGCTCGGCACCACCTAGACGGCACCGCATGGCTTGCACCACCTAGATTGCACCGCGCAGACTCTACAGTGCATCCCTGCGGGGCCCTCGATGGCTGACACTGTATTCTAATAAGGGCCCACCCTCTTTCTACCAGGGCTGGACCTAAGCGCTGTGTTTCGTTTTGTCTTCGTTTTGTGGTTCGTTTTGCTCTGCCTGTGTTCCTGCACTTCCCTCCCAAACTTAAAAACAAAACACAGCCGAAGTCCAGCGAAACAGCGTTTAGGTCCAGCCCTGCCTTCTCCGAGCGTCCATCCGCATGCATCGCCCCCATCTCCCGAGGCCACGAGCCCTGGCAAAAAACGATAGATCAGCGTCCCGAACTTCGATGACGGTCCAGACAGGGACCCAAGGCCGCCAAGATGGCCCAAGGTGCTTTGAGTACGGCCCCAAGAAGGCCCCAAGGCGGCGCAAGATGGCCTCAAGACGGCCCAGGATGCCTCGAAGAGGGCCGAAGAGGACCAGAAGAGAACGCCCAACTGGGCTCGAAGAGGCCCAAATCATTCACTTCCCAATGGCTGTGGAACAAACATTCGCACTGTCACCCTCTTGGGCCTCGAGAGGACCCAGCGAGGGTCCCGAGGCGGCCCAAGAGGACACCATCATGGCCCAGGAAGCTTCCGAAACGGCCCAGACTGGCTGTAGAAGGCCTCCGCAGGGAGCCAATACGGCCTCAGAGGGCCCCCCCGAAGGCACAGGACGGCGCAAAGATGGCCCCACGACGCCTCCTCCCTCTCCTCCTCCTCCGCCTCCTCTTCCTCCTCCTCCTCCTCCTCCTCCACCTCCTCCTCCTCCACCTCCTCCTCCTCCTCCTCCAAGACGGCCCAAGAAGGCCCAAAGACGGCCCCACGGGGACCCTCGAGACTGCCCCGCGGGAGCCCAGGCCAGCCCCAGGACGGCCCACATGAGATCCATGAGAGCTCCTCGAGAAGTGAAGACGAAAGGTGCCACAGGCGACTGCTCTCCTCTGCTTCTTGATCATAGTTATGATTCCTGTTCCTCCTGATGGCCCTCCTCAACCTCATCATCAAGATCGCCAACAACATCAACATCAACAATATCAGCATCATCATCATCATGACCATCGTCATCAGCATTATCTTAAGCGTCGTCATCATCAGTATCATCAGTATCATCAGTATAAACATCATCAGCAGCAGCAATATCATAATCAGCATCATCATTAGCAGCATCAGCATCAGCATCAGCATCGGCATCAGCATCATCATCAGGACTCAAGTGGCCTCGTCTGCATCAGAGGTATGTGGCGACCAAAACTATGGAAGACGATTCTCTGTTTTGGTCACGATGTTGGTGATAAGCCTTTTCGGCCGATAGGGGCCGAGCGACATGAGAGTACAGGGAGGAGGGGGGAGGAGGGAGGGAAAGGAGTCTTGCGATTCTGGACGCGTTGTGCCGTCCTGGGTGGGCACCGCCAGGGCCTACGCAGCGACGAAGGTATCTAACACAGGCCGCTGCCGCGGCACCGTGGCGTGCCCTCGGCCACCTGGTCGCCGAGGTGCGTGGCACGGCAATCTGCGGCGTGACGTCTGGCGCAGCTGCCCCCAGGATCCCGCGAAGTGAAGAGCACACGTTTTGGGGATAACTCACGCGTCTGCAGGCGCCATGGGTTCGGTCACAGTGGAAGCAGTCTGCGGGGCGCCGTAGGGCACCAAGCGCTACGTCCACGACACCATCGTCGCTTCCTGGATCTATTGCTGCCAGTGCTCGGAGGCTCTCGCGCGGCTACGTTACTCAGAACCGCTCTCAGCGGCATCACGCTTAAACGACCTACCGCCCGGCCGCCACGCACGGTGATCCCGTGGTTGGACAGTGAGCTCAGGGGCTTCGGCCAGGAGGCTGTGTGCACCATGGAGAGCCCGAATCACCCCTGGCTGCTGCAGGGGGCTCTAGACAAGCATGTCCAGAAAATCGTGTCTTGGCCAAGGGGCCTCCCTGGACCATTCTCGATACTCCGTGGCATCGTCCTCGAGAAATCTAGGCCTCCCAAAAGGGGTCCGAGTAGATGGGGTCGGAGCATCGCGCCGCATCGCCGATGCATCAGCGACGTCGGCGTGGAGAAAGTCGGGCTCCACATCGAGCCGCATCGGCGGTACGTCGGCGATGTGGCGCGATCCTCCGACCCCATCTGCTCGGACCCCAGCTGGGATGCCTCGAGGAAAGTGGCCCGCGCCCACGCCACCCGCCCCGGGCACGCGGTGGCCAGGATCGCGGTCTCGGAGCTCCGTGCGCGCTCCTCCGAGCGCGGTGCCGCTCGCTGCGGGGCGTCCTGGCTGCGAGGGTTGCCCGTTTTGCGGTGCGGGGGTGGTGGAAGCACCCACCGGAGCACATCGAGGGGTGCAATGCTTGATGGTTTGTCCTTTCCTTCCCTCCCCATCGCGCCCTCCCCCCCCTCCTGTCCCTTTCTCCGCCTTCGTCCAGTCAGGGCGGGCAGCATGCGCGAGAACGCTCGCCGAGGTGCATGTGCTGGGAGCCGATGCCGCCATCGTGACCGGAGATGAGAGCGCACGACGATCACCATCCAACGCAACCATCATGAAGAGGAGGAGGGGGTGAAGGGGAGAAGAAGGGGGGAAGGGATGGAGGATGACAAGAGAATGAGGAGGAGGAGGAAAAATAGTGAGGAGGAGAAGAAGAAGAAGGCGGAGAGGATAAGGAGAGCAGGAGGGCAGCAGGGATGGAGGAAGGGAGGGACGAGGGACGAGAACGGGGGTAGGAAGGGACGAGGCGGGAGGGAATGAGGGCAGAGGGGGGGAGGGAGGGAGGACACGGAGCTGGAAGGCGGGGGAAGGGGCAGGAGGGAGGAGGCGAGGCGGGAAGCGAGGGCCGAGGAGAGCTCGCGAGGAGGGCCCTGGGCGAGGAGGCGCGCGGGCGGGGGCGCCGCCCTTTCCCCCCCACGTGAGCGGTGGCCCTCGCCCGCCTGCATGTTGAAGCCCGCGTCGATGCTGAAGGCGTTGCAGAGGGGGTCGTTGTCTATCCTGCGGGGGCGGCCGGCGCCTGGTGCAGCATCGGCGGCGAGCGAGGGGGGGGGGGAAGCGAGAGGGAGGAGGCCCTCTCGGAGGGCGGCGGGGCTCCTCGGAAGGCCCCCATCGCGCCGTCCGAGGAGTCTTTTGGTCTGCGTCTTCGGGCGGGGGGCCTGGAAGACTCCTCGGAGCGGCGGGGGGCCTCGGAGCCTTCGGAGGAGGCCTTCTCCGCTCGCTTCCGCCCCTCGCTCGCCGCCGAGGGGGTCAAGGCCGCAGGCTGCCGCCACGTGCGGAGCACGGCGGCCGTGCGTGGCACCCGTTGCCTATACGACAGGGCGGCCAGGGACACCCCCCAGCACTGCCAGGGGCGACCTATCCTTCAGGGCGACCTATCCTGCAGGGCGACCTATCCTGCACCCGCTACCTATCCTGCAGGGCGGCCAGGGACACCCCCCAACGCCCGTTACCTATCCTGCAGGGCGACCTATCCTGCAGGGCGGCCAGGGCACCCAGGCCGCCGACGTGTTGGAGGAGTCAAGGCCGCAGGTTGTCGCCATGTTCGGCGTGTGGCGGCCCTTCGTGGCACCCGCCACCGCCGGGAGGCGTTCTGGGATGGGCGCCCTGCCGTGGGGATGGCCGGGGGGTCCGAGGGTCACGCACTGAAGAGATCATGGATCCGAGGTCTGGGAAGAGGTCGGGGCCTTACGCACGAGGACATGGATGCGCTCAGCGATGGCTGACGCAGCATGCCTGGACGAGGTCGATTTGGATATGGTCATTTTAAGCATGCCTGTGCACGTTCAGTGGAGGTGTCGTTACTATGATCAATTTCGAGGCCTCCCCAATGGGGTCCGAGTAGATGCGGTCGGAGCATCGTGCAACCGATGCATCGGCGATGCGTCGGCGACGTTTGCGATGCATCGGCGACGACGGCATGGAGACCATCGGGATCCACATCGCGCCGCATCGCCGATGCATCGGCGATGCGGCGCGATCCTCTGACCTCCGCTACTCGGACCCCACTTGGGGTTAGGTCGGGCATGTCCTCCTACAGGCGGATTTTGACCGAATATTGAACAATCATCAAACAATATTCAAAAAGTGCCAAAAGCAGTATATCCATGGTCCCCAGACAATTTGTTCTACTATCTTGGAATACTTCTCCTGTAGAGGGACATGCCAAACTTCAACTTGGGGAGGTAAGCCTGGATAGGTGGAATCTGAGGGCAAACTGCACGTCTGCAAGTGGGACTGGCGTTCGGTCGGGCGTGTCCTCCTACAGGCAAATTTTGGACGAAACATAAAACGTACTCAAATATATTTCCAAAATGCATGAACACACTAAACAAACAAATCGTCCCCAGGCTATGTTTTTTACGGGCGCGCACAGAAGAAGAACAAGCGTCACAGACACAAACTTTGAGCGCTCCGCGTGGCCTTCGCGGCATGCTCAGGGGGCGTCCAGCCTCCTGAGAAGCTGTGCTCCTACAGGCTTTTTTGGACGGAACATCAAAACTATTCAACACATATTTCGACATGCATAAAAAAGTATGCAAAACATCGTCCCCAGACAATTTTGTAACTATTTTGAATATTCCAGATGGGGCAGGCCCGACTTACACTCAGAGGGCTCCTCAGAAGACTGGAGGGCTTCTGAGAAGCCCCGTGGCCCCGGTGAAAATGCCCGCCCCCTCTGGAGGAACAACCAAAAATAACACATGCGTACGCTTGTGGCGTTCCGCGCAGATATTTCTTGGAACCGTGCGGGAGGCGCCGCCGGGAGGCGGGGCCCGCGCGGAGCCAAGAAATATCCGCGCGGAGCGCCAGAAATTTCTGCTTCTGGCGTTCTTTCTCCTTCGATGACGGGGAGACGGTAGAATCGGGGGGAAGCAAGGTGCCCTTCTCGGGCCCTAAAATCGGGGATGGACAGACCCCCCTTTAGTAAAACGTGGTCTAGTGCAAAACGACCTGAGGCCCAAACCTGGCGGGCGCAAGCCTGGAAAATGACGGCCGCGGCGCCCTCTCGAGTACCGAAAACGGACAATTCACTAATCGACGTGTCACTGTTGAGGGTTCTGTCCACCCCCGATAAAAAGCCCCCCTCCCGGGCCCTGCAGGGCCCCCATCAGGAGCCTGACAGGGCCCCTTTCCTGCCCTCGCTGCCCCTCCACCTGTCGCCCCCCCAAATGCGCGTGCTCCGGGATCGTGCTGTCGCCTAAGTGCCAGCTGCACGTGTCGTCTGGACGACAGCGACCCCTAAACAAGACTAGGGTGCACGTAAAAGAGCGTGCTCCCACCCCTGTCCCCACATAGCCGACGCTCGACTCCGCGACCCGCCCCTTCACCTCTGCTGCTACGGGAGGTTCGCGTCGTGACGACCCCAGCGTTGGTTTCTGACTCCGCATGGACCGTTCAACCTTGAACGATCGGCCGTTCCCGCAACGTCCAATCGTTCAACATCGACCGATTCTGGGTCGCCGGCGGCGTTCAACGTTAAACGCCGCGGGCGGGGTCGCCGACGGTCGACACGACGCGAACCTGCCGTACCAGGGTGCTCAGCTGGGGTATGTTCTCAGATCCGCGACCCCAGTGCGGGCGGGGGGTAATCTGTCGTCCCCGATCCACGTCTGATGTGACTACCTACCAGACCACCCCAACCCAACCCGAAGACCCGAATTTCGGGTTGGGGGGGGTAAGGGTTCCACGTGTGTTTTTTCGATGTTTCCCGACCCCCCCCCACTGGAAATCGAGGGTGAACCTGAGCCTTCGGGTTAGGTTGGGGTGGCTTGGTGGGTGGTGATGATGGTCCCGGGGCCCGACGACGGGCCCCGGATGTCAAAATCGAGGGAATACGCTGGGATAGGAAAAATCAGTGTGTCGGAGGTCTTTGGTCTCTGGAGGAACAACGAGCCAGCAAAGCGAGGCCCACGCTCCTCCTGGAACTGCTGGCCTGCCTGCCTGCTGTCGCTCAGAAGCCAGCTCACGGACATTGATGCTTGCCCTCATTACGCCCAGTAGCGCGCAAGACGGACACAAGGCATCTCCCGGACGTGGCGCTACTGGGCGCTGTTTGTCGCTATTGGGCGCCATTTGAACGCTCATCGGCGCTACTGGGCGCCACGTGACGCTGTTGAGCGCCATTGGGCGCCACTCGCCGATGCGCATTCAGCCCGACACGATCGGAAGTTTCCGTGATCTACCATCTGTGGCGGCGCACACGGGGAGGGAGGCGTGCGGCGAGGGGGGGAGGCTTCTCGGAAGGAGGCTGCTTCTCGAGTCTGAGACGACGCCCGGACTTACAGCTGCAGACAAGGCCCGCGCCTCCCAAAAAGCCCCCCCCCCCCCCTACAGTGAACCCGTGTAGTAAGGATGCGCGATAAGGATGCAAGGGCCTTGGACGCCCATTTCAAAGCTTTTCGAGCGGGGCGCGACCAACGACAGTGGCCAAGGATGGACGAGGAGGCTACGATGCAAGGGTACCCTTGGGTAGGTTGCCCATCCTTACTTTGCGGGTTGATTGTGCCCCCCCTCTGCGCGCTGCCGAACGGGTCCGAGGACCCAATGCCCGATAATCAAAAGCCCGAGGGTCGCGGGCTTTCGACGCTCTTGGCCCCTTTCTGGGCCGGAGACCTCCAAATGCCACCGGGGACTCCACCTAGTGACCGTGGCCGGGCATCCCCGACCTCCAGAACCCTCCAGAGGCAGGGGAGCCCAGAATCGAATCGATGAGTCAGATCGGCGATCGACACGAATCGGATCGGCGGAAATCAGCAGCCGAACCGGGAAACATCGAACTGGCGGGCATCGGCAAGCTGGTATGCCCAAACCGAATCGAACCGGAAACCCAAACCGAATCGAATCGGAATTGGACGCCATCGAAATCGAATCGAATCGAGCCGGGAGAATCGAACCGATCCCCGCTGACGAGGCCGAACAGAATTCTCCCAGAGGCTGCCCTCCCGCTAGCGCACGGCGCGCGGCCTGTGCTCGCCCGCGATGATGGACCCAACTGGGCCCCAAAGATCTCAAGACGGCCCGATCGCGTCCCCGCCCTCGCCTTTAAAACGAAACCCAAACGAGGATGATGACGGGCGAAGATAAATTGCGAATCTCTGGGATCTGGCGGTTCTGGAAAATGTCTCGGGCGCCGCGGCCTTCTCAGAGCGTTCCGGAACGGTCTTAAAACATTCTGGGGCGCTGTGAAACGGATGCATCCTCGCCCTGGCCCTGTCCAATCCTCGTCTTCCCCACCCCCCCAAAAAAAATTCCACAACGGCTCGGGGGAAACATCGCCCAATAGCCCAACAAGACTTCGGAGCGGCGCGGGGCAGTCAGCACCGCGTTGGGGAAAAAAGGATCGGATCAAACTAGCGCGCCGGATCCGTCACCGTTGGAATTGATACGGAATCGAATTGGACGGGCCGTGTCGAAATCATCGGGCCGCGCCGCCTTGCCGAACATGGGAACAGAACCGGATCGGGGTGGCCAGAATCGATATCGAATCAAAGTCGAATCGGGCCAATCGGATCTAAGGGGACCCTGCCACGGTGAGGGGTCACAGTCCGCCCGTGGCGCCCGCGGCTCAAGACACGGATTCGCCCCCAACCGCGGCCTGAGCCACGGAACACTTCTGTATCACAAATGGACAGAAGAGTGATTCCTCGCTTGTGGATTGTAATCAAAGGCTTGGGCCGAGCATCCTTGCCAATGCATCGCGCGATTAAACGCACGCTTTGCAAGAGTAGCTGCACGCGTGCATGCATCAACTTGCATATGGTTATACACATACAACCACACATACATACATACATACATACAAACAAACATTCATTCATACATGCATACATATACACATATCCACATTACACATATACTCGTATACACACATGTATGTATATATAGTTGTTGTGTGAAAATGTGTTGGGCGGACCTGTCCGACATCCCGATGTCATGCGCGATCTGCATAACAGCCCGACCAATGTGACGCATCTTCTGAATTCTCCAAGTTTGAAGGGGG